TTTATTATTTACTATTTCTCAGTGTTATTTTGTACACTTTCATACATTAGTGCATATTTTGTGGTATTTTGTTCAAATTATTAATTTCATGTGTTTCATGTAAGCATATTTGTTATTTGTAATATTTATCAGGTTAGATTAGATAAGAATTCATTAAATGATTTATGGATATACAAACATGTATTTTGAATTAATGAGGTGATTATATACAACTAATTAACATTAATTTAGTATTTTATTTTCATATTGATGAAAGATTAATAAAAGTTAGAATTTGAAATTTAATGTCGCTTTTTGACATATTGGCCAAGAATTGATTTACTTACCTACTTGCTCACGTCTTTTACGCCACATGGAGTAGCATTGGATGTCCACCAGCATTCTCTATCAAACTCTGTTCTGGACAATACTTCCTAGTCGTTTCCACTTTCTCATAATTCATTTCATGTCTGTTTCCTATTCCCGACACTTTGTGTACTTCACCATTCATCTTTTCTGTTTCTTCACAGGATTCCAGGTTAGCACACACCTCATGATGTAGTTTAATTATTTCCACAACATATGTCCCACCCACAACCTAGACCGTCATTTTCTAATTTTTTCTTCAGTTGGAAGTTGGATTGTTCTCTCCCACAGTAGGCTGCTGATGATCGAATCCGGCCAACGGACATCTAATATCTAATGTAGACAATTATTTATTAATACTTGTACTTTATTTATGATGGTTATGGTAGAAGTTCTCAAATTTTCACATCCGTATTGTACAACTACTTGAAGTTCATATTGATGATTCTAAGTTTGATATTGGTTGAAAGACTGTGGTTTTGAGTTCCATGTATTCTTCAACTGTAGGAATACTGTCCTTACTTTTCCAACACTGGCCTCTATGTCTCCATCAGATCCTCATTCTTCATCGATCATGCTGATCAGACACGTGAAAGTTTACACCTCGTCCAGAGCTTATCGATCGACAGTGATTGGTTCGGTATTCTCCATGTTATATTTTAGGATCTTAGATTTTCCCTTGTGTATGTTAAAGCCTATTGCTGCAGACAGAGGTTGTTGTTACACTGGTTGTCTTGACCTGTATTCGTTGTTGTGTGTGATATGGAGGGTTGAGGTCATTTGTGAAGTTCGAACCGTCCAGTTGTATGCAAGCTGTCCGTAGTATACGGTGCTTCCCGTCAGATGTGGACGTCTTTATAATCCAGTCAAACACTAGAAGAAGGAGAAGGGGAGGAGTTAGCAGCCTTGTCTGACTCCAATCCTCACTTGGAATGCATCTGTCAACTGTCGTCCATGCACGACCTTGCAGTGTAATCCATCGTATGAATTCCGGATCATTTTGAAGGTCTTATCAGGTTATGAGTGTTTACAGTATCTGAGTCAGATTGTTAATGAACAGATTTGGAGAATCATATTAATTACATCTCGCTTACTTATCATTTCATCATCTAAAACAATTTGTGAATGTACACCAGATTATCCGAGTGTTTAGAAATTTATATCGATGTTAGAAATATTTGTAGTCTCTTTGTTCATCGGAAATGAATTAATTACAGAAGGCTAAAGATAATGAGTGGTAATGATAACACTGTATAACAATAAATTAATCAGCTGGTAAATGTACTGATGATTGTAAGCCAATAAATTGGATTATTACGTTTAGAATAACTTTATCACTGATTGGAATTAAATATATGCTAAGATGATAATCAAATGTAAGCAATCCATAGAAAGGGTTTGGTGAAAATAAATTAACCGTGTTTTGAAGTTCAAAACATTCAATTTTCTGAATAATGATAAAAAATCGTAAGCTTTTAATTCATTCATGTGAATAGAAACCAGGGGATTTACCAGCTTCGTAAGTAATGTTACTTAACTTGGTAATGTATATGAAGCGGATACCAAATATGCTAGATTTGACAGTACTACTGTCTGAAACTTTTTTATTAAAAATGATCCCAAAGCCAAGAAATACAAAAGTTGAAGATGAGGAGGATGAAAATTTAACTGAATTATGTTGCGTCATATTCTAATCATAAAATCCATGTGTGTTTTAGAATAGCAAACGTTATAAATACTAGCAAGTTGAATATACCAAATCCGTATGTTATTTTAATGTACAATTTCTACCTGTTGCAATTAGCTTCGTAATTTTAGCTTAGTAAGACGTTGCATCTTAATGTCCATAAGCCATTTTTATTAACGATTTTGAGAGTTTCTTTCTTACACAAAAACAATAATATACGTCAACTGGGTCATTCAATGGCTTTATTGTTTTAATAAGAAGCATAGAATCCAACATTTTACTTAAAAACCTAGTCTTTAGATTCTGATATTGCAATACGAACCAGTGAGATCATTATGTTGAGGAGTTTGTGTCCAAACATGTTTTAAAATTTTAGGTAGAGATGAGTTTATTATTTATCTCTTGTGAGTTTCTATGAGTCGAACTGGACAATCTATCCTCGGGTTGAAAAAATTTAATAACACTCCTTATTGACTATGAATGTTGGCTTTGACAGACCTGATAAGAGGCCCAAAACTTAGGAAATAACCAGTCAGATCTAAGTTTGTAACTACTGATTTGGCACACAATTCATTCATTTACATGGCTAAACGGAATTTCGATATTATAGTTGATGTTCGTTCGTGATGAAAACCCTGACTCTAATTTTTAACTTCAACGCTTAAAACTAAATCCTAATCCAAATTAACCGCGCTAATTTAAAATTCTATTTTGATTCTTACAGTTGTTGAAGTTACTGAAAGGCACTTAATTATAGCCCAAATATCATCCACAAGTTATTGTCTGGATAATACATTTTGTCGTAGAATCAAATGTGTTAGTGGTCAATCAAGCTTCTGATAGCGAAATGAATTTTATATTAGTTTATTTCAGTTGTTGCTATTTCATTTAAATCTATGGACGATATGAGTTATTTGATATTTTTCATTTTCTGTCATCACTAATCTAGCCATCTTTTGTTACACAGATTATCTTGTTTGTCAATTATGATTGTTGTATTAACTGCCGATCAACATTTTTTCTTGTAAACTGTTTGTTTACAATGGAAAGGGGATCAGCGTCGTCGAATCAGCAGTCAACTGAGAGATGAATTATGCAACATTCTTGAACACATCAACTCTCCTTCAACTTATGCTCCATCCTTAGGTAGCTCACAAGTGGAAACAGAATACATCATTGACTTCTCTATGTGTGGAATTTCACCCTATCGGTTTGGTATAAATTATCTTGCTAATTCATGTCAAAGTCATTCCGGAGTGAGACTATAAGGTGTATATTTGAAGATGTTAGACTTTGATATATATTTTTATTTTCACATTTTGTGTATTATCAATGATATGTACCTAATTTTCATACTGATATTGGACTATTGGTCATAGACGATTCGGAATTTGAATAATACGATTAGAAGAAGGTTTTAAAATTATGCGGTATGTTTGCGCAGTGCATTCTAAATAATCTGATTAAACATATATTTGTCATGAGATTAAGTATGAAAAAATAAAAAAACCCAACTAGAAAACCCAAACAGTAAGGGGAAACAAGGATATTAATAAAGTATGCAATGTGAAAACAACTCTGGACAATAAATTAGTATTACCAAGGTAGGTAACGGGTAAGAACAGGCAGTGTCGAGTCACCTAGACTGGTGGCCACATTGCAACATGATCGATAGCATTCGATCTGCACTAATAAGGACTAGACAAGCATGAGATTGATCACCACCCAGTGATCAATCAATTGTGATTACATCTCAGTCCTACAGGAGGTTAGTCACGGCTCGGATAGCTCAGTGGTAACGTCTTTGACTGTGAAGCTGGGTGACACGAGATCGAATCCGCCAGGGAGCACCAGTTCCCTCAAGATTACAGGTACACCTTGCTGACGAGTGCCAAGTAGCACGAAACCCGGGTCCAGGGTTTCCTGTTGACTACCTCCAACCACCATCTAATCTCAATACATAGTGCCCGCAGTGTCGAGTCACCGAGACTGGTGGCCACATTGCAACATGATCGATAGCATTCGATCTGCACTAATAAGGACTAGACAAGCATGAGATTGATCACCACCCAGTGATCAATCAATTGTGAATAAATTAGTATTACCAAGGTAGGTAACGGGTAAGAACAGGCTATTTATCATTGCTTTCCAGTTTTTGTGTAGCTACGACTTCGATAAACTTTAATACACAGTCTTAAACACACTTTTACAAAACTCATATCAAAAAACGTATCTGTACAAGCGGTACGTGGATGATGTTATAGTCTTAAGTGATAAATTTGAAGATGTGAACCACTTGTTTAGGGAACTCGATATAAGTCAAAAGTTTATTTGTCTAATATGCAAAGAAGAGATGAATGAAGATCCTTTAACCTCCAGGGCAGAGTTTAAATGGTTTAAGTTGTTTTCTCAGTTTAGCATATTTTTAGCAGTCATTTTCCACGAGATGGGGTTGCTGATCCCATACCAAACCCTCCAAATTTATTAGGGTTTGTGACAGGCAGTAACCTTAGAAGAGATACAGGAGGAGTTATCATTGTAATATGTGAGGATTTAGTAGCTGGCCTTATAAGTTTTCATGAAATTCTTAGTGGTAACTATATGAATAAACCAGTTGCATTTATGATCTTTCACTGCTGCAATATTCATTAACATTAAACATTATTTCCAGTAACAATGTGCATCAAAAGCAGTATTTAGGGCATAAAAATACCAATTTACTTAGTCCTGATAAGTAGATTAATAAAATTATTACTGAGAATAAACAATTTAACATACTGTTCAGTTCAACATCAATTAAACCAACCTATAAAAATTTCGAATAGTGAATGCAATTCGAGCCATGTGAATGGTTGAAATCAACAATTTACAAATATTTGTTAGATAATCCAAAAATGAGCCAATGAGAAATCAGTGCATGACAAATATTAAAAAGTTTCGGTTTGTGAAACAGTATTTAAACGAACCAAATCATACGACAAAAGTTGTAGACCTCGTAAGTCGAAGATATGCTTCCTACCGTCTTATCGACAGTTCCGAAATGTTTGTTATTTTTCATAGCAGTCATACTATCACAGTATAAAATTGAGTGTAAATCGTCATTATTGGATGTAACAGATCCAGAAACTTGGAAGAAGTTGGCAGATGAAAGATTTAATAAATTTGAACAATCATTAACTTATTTATTACTTAAACGACCAAAAAATATCATCTTATTTATTGGTGATGGTATGAGCTTGAACACTGTTACTGGAGCAAGATATTTGAAAGCGGAGAAGATGAATCTTTTAGGTGGTGATGTACAGCTAGAATGGGAAAACTGGCCTGTTGCATCACTTGTCCGTACATTCAACTCAGACAGACTGACAACAGATTCAGGTTCTGCGGCAACTGCTTTTATGTCAGGTAAGTCGTAAGGTGAACAAATTTCTTTATTGAGACAACTACTACTTCATGTCTTATTTAAATTACATTGTCATATTTTAATGCACATACAACCAAGAAACGATACATGTCCTGTGTGATAAAAATTGGAACATTCCGTTGATCATAGAACAATGTGTATATTTCAAGCAAATTAATTTAGATGCACTTAAAATGTTTTGTGATTTAATTTTCTGTAGATAGTCTCGTTTATCAAATTGATTCTGTAATTCTTCTGTACAACATAAGCGGAATCTGGAGAATAGATAAATGTATAATTAGTTCCACTTACAAGTCAGATTAATTAACTTTAATGGAAGATGTTATTCAGATCCATTGGAGAGACTGTAATTAATAGATTGGGAATGACCTCAGAATAAAAAAAACGTACAATGGTAGCCACTTAGTCAAACGAATGCTTATGAATGCTTATGCAATATGAATATATATATAACATAGTTACTTGACAATTATCCAATAAAAATATACGTGATAATAGACTAGAAATAGATCCTAGCAGTTACCATTCATTTATTCTTTGTTCAGGTATAACAAATTCTCCACGTAGGTGTGGTATAGATCGATTTTGATGTTTCTGATCAGTATTTAATTATCCCATATCCACTAATGAAGTTCTCACTCCATTGAGTACTTATACTGATCCGAGTTTCCCATAATTTTATAATCTGGAGAAAGCCGATTGCAGTAGAGATAAAAACTCATCTCCTCTTTGTGGTTCACCTTATTATGAGCTTCGATGGAGTTCGTATGGGAGGTTAAGCCATATAGAGCCAATTAGGTAGAAAATTAATTAGTTATCGATTAACAGTAATGATCACATCAAATTGATTGAAATCAGTAAACGAAAACCATTAGCTCACATCTGAGTGATTCAATAATGTTATTCTCCATGTGATTATGAATTCATGAGCTAAATTAAGGCGAATAACCAGTGGACAGTGATACTTCTACAATGTTTCCCATTTGGTATTTGTCAATAATGGAAAATATGCTAGACTAAAACTTTTGAAATACTGAATACTGTAAATAATGTATTCTAATCGGTCGAAGAGTCGAATCAAAGTTCATTTTAAACAAAGAACATGTTCTGAAGTGTACGCATTAAGACTTCAAAAGGTTAAGTGTCAAATACAGTTTTCATAGTTCACTGATATAAGTCGAAGGAATGTTGATTTAACTTGAGTTGGAAGAGTAAGATGCTAGTCTATGAGCAGATCATTATGCTATCAAAGATGAATGGATTTATTATGATGAGGTGTATGCAAAACCGCACACATAGCAATTTAGTTTTCTGTCGTTATTTGATGTGTAACTTTTGCTGCATATTCTGCTGATTTTAAATTATTTTCAGGTGTGAAAGGGCCTTATGATACTGTTGGCATCACGGGAACAGTGAAGTGCTGTGAATGTACTGAGTTGAAAGAAGTGGAAAGAGCGAAATCTTCTCTCATGTATGCCTCTAAAGCAGGATTTTCCACTGGAATAGTTACAACTACGAGGGTTACTCATGCAACACCCGCAGCAGCATATGCCAATATGTTGCATCGAGATTGGGAGTCGGTAGGGTGAGTGCAAATTATATTCGACAATGATTTTACATTTATGTATAGTTTTAATGTGATAAAGTACACAAATTATGTGTGCAGGTTTTATCGTAATTAACTCCGTTTACAGTTGGTGTTTTGCGTATTTTGTCTGAGTACGACAAACTAAGAAGCAATAATGTTAAAACGGTTTTTCCCAATACACTGTGAATGAAATATGTAAAGTTGGTGAGACTAAGATTTCCTTAGAAAAATGATAGTGTAGTATCTATAGTGGTATCTATATATCATAAAGTTCACTTAAGTTCGTTTCCATAAATGATCTGTTTCATATCACTTAAAAGGAATTATAAATTTGAAGTGAAATTTCACATTCCTCTGGAAGCTATTAAACATTTATCAATGCAATTGCTTTATTGTTACTTTATGTCAGATTGCCATGATCCTAAATAGAATATTCTTCCTAATGATGACTTTCTTATTTGGGCTCCACACAGTCATGAATAGACAGGTTCGAAACCACCGTTCACCTGCCATGGTCAATAAAATGATAGTGCCATTACCATCTCTACACAAAGATGTTTGGTTCAAAATAGAGTCAGAACTTGGGTTTTATGAATGAGTTTATAATAAATCCTCTTCAAAATTGTCAAGGGAATCTATGTTGATTGCTTTATCATCTATGTGATCGGCTGCCTTTACCCACATGACATCTGGTGAAATAAAACACCATTAATTCATTAATCATCTTTAAAAATCGACTTGTTTATCTAACTACATACAGAATTTCAAGATGGATTACGGTATAAATGTGCTACAATTGATCCTAGAATGTTCAGGATAAATGAATCAACCGGTGATAATCACAATAATATATTCAATATCCACAAATTGCATTAGTGTACGAACACAGTGCAATATGGGCATAAGACAAGGTGTGATGAATAAATTGCCAACTTATTCACGAATACATATAAGAGCCTACCCACATTAATTTATCTATTCGGCTAACTGTTTGAATTGATTTATTTATTTCATTTATTTATTTGAACACATAAGTATTGGTACAAGAGGGCGTCAGATATATATGCGCCACACACAAAGTGGGAATAAAAGAGAGTGGATAGTGACGTAGTAAATAATAATAATAACAATAATAATAATAATAATAATGTGAATCGTTTGACTGTTAATCGAATCAAGAATAGTATTTTCCATAAATATCGTCATTTCATTCTATTTGTGTGTGGGCTGTGATACCGCCCGGACGCCCAGACCGAAGCAGGTGGTTTTCTTAGAGGGCCACACCCCGAGCCTTTGACCTCATTATTATTATTATTATTGTTATTATTATTATTATTATTATTATTATTATTATTATTATCACTGTCGCTTATTTCTCCTCTCATTCAGACCGTCAAACAAGCATGGATTCCACTGCGTAGACGCTGCTGCACAACTATTGACAAATGCTTCTCACGTCAACGTCATAATGGGAGGAGGGGCAGCCGAATTCTATGGTCCGTCAGACAATACCACTTTCAACATGAAAGGTAAACGCTCTGATTCACGCAACCTCCTACAAGAATGGAAGGATATGCAGACCGAAATGAATCACAAGCATGTTCTCTTACATACAAACGATGAGTTTAAACGAACCGACTGGTCTTCGGTTGACTATGTTTTGGGTAGGTTCTATGATTCCTGAGTTTGGCTAAATAGTGTTATTGTGAATCGGTAACTAGTAAACAACTCTCTGTTTTTGTTTATGTTTAAAATGAGGCTGCCTGAAGCGTTATCGATTGCACGTGCTGTGTATTGATTGGACCAATGTGTGTTGAGTTACTGACACTATCATTCATTTTATGGCATTTCATTCAGATATAATATTACACATTGATTTTCAGGTTTGTTTGCTTCGAATCATTTGGCTTATCAACTGGAAAACCAAGACCAACCAAGTTTAGCAGAAATGACAGAAGCTGCTATCAAAGTACTTTCTCGTAATCCAAAAGGATTTCTTTTGTTAGTGGAAGGAGGTAGAATTGATCATGGGAATCACGACAATCGAGCCCAGTAAGAAACTATTATTATAAATGCAACTATTTCCACAATTAAATCTAATGACAGTCATGATATTTTTGGTATTTGGTATGAAACTAAACTGATGTCGACTATTCCTCGTCGTTTAATCTAAAGTTCGATGTGGAGTGTTGTTTATAAAAGTTTCCGACACATGTAGTTATCTTTTTAAGTGGATTGATAATACGATTACTTTTCCAAATTCTTACCGATTACAGATATGCATTAACTGAAACTTTGGAGCTCGAAAAAGCTGTCGAGAAAGCATTGTCACTTGTTGATCAACAGGAAACACTACTGCTAGTAACAGCTGACCATTCACATGCATATGGAGTGGTCGGCTATCCGACAAGGAACACAAGTGTGCTAGATGTGGATAATACTGCAAAAGTAAGTGTTAATCCTTTTCCATTTTTAGGCATTTGAGTAAACAAGAAACGGTTTCTTACCGAAACACATCAATTTACCAATATCTGAGGTATGTAGTAGACAACAAATGAACCTACTGATGTCAATGAAATGACAATAGGTAACATGTAGCAACTTCAAGTTATGATTGGCAAAATATTTGAAGTCTCAAAACGATTGGCAACTTGATCCATAGTTACAAAGTTTCCATCGCATGATCCGTTTGAAAGATTTGTCAATAATAAGATCGAAGTTAAAAGCCTGCGTATAACACCGGAACAATTTTCAGGGCGAAGAATGCTTACAATGATTGAGTCTAAACATAGTTTCTGTTTGCTTGAGATGTTTGTGGAGGTCGTTCAGTTGACATATATTCCTCATGAAATCCAGTCTCAAAACGGATTTAATGAGTATCGAAATGTTGTTAACTGAATATGAATTAGTCAGTTATTCAGGAGGGAAACAAAATATTGACTACTTCCTTATCGCTGACATATTTTATCAACAAATTCGACAAAACATTCTCGTCATGTAACATGATTGAATGGTTATTGAATAATGCGATTGCAGATGAATGAGTCGGTCAGATTATCACTGATTGCCTCTTTAAAGTAGTTGAAATGGATTGAAAGTGGAGTCCATGTAAGCTGAGAGCACAGTAAAACAAACTCAATTAATTGTAAAACAGGTCAGTTCTCAAACTACTTCATTCATTTGACTTTGAGTGTAGTTTTAGGCACACCGATTCAAAATTTGCACAGCTCACCAGTTGTGATAATTGAGAGTTTGTTGATTTAATGGTATCAGTACATACATGTAAATGGTGAAATCAATGAATTCGCGTAAAATAAGAACAACGATTCAAGCATAATAACATGAGTCCGTTATATTCTAGCGATCTCACCTTCACTTGAGCTTGTATGCGTTTATGTTTATTATGACCTCTGAATAACTTACTTCATAGGTAGTCTCACTTGTGTCCTTAACTATTTGCCTATATCTTTACTTTATCATTAACATGCTTGTGTGAGTATGTGTGACTAATCACCAGTTACAACCAACATATATACACATCTTAGAAGGTTATATGCTATTTACTTAAAGAGCGCGATGACGTACTTGCATACTTATATATCTGAGTATCATAATTTCTAATCGCTCACGTGTATTTGGAATTCTTCTTCTTTACACGATTATTATTATAATTATTATTATTATTGTAATTAATAATAATAATAATGTTGTTCGAATTCACCCTTGTTCGTATCGGCATCGGGTACTTGATGAAATTTAATTAAATTTTGATGAGAGTTAAAATTGGAGACAGTAAAGGGATACGCTATGCATAATGACATGATCGATTTGTCTCGGAGTGCTCGATTTCGAAATCATTAATTTGTAACTGAAAATGACCTCATTGAATGTATCCAACGGAAAATTGACGTAAATACGTGTTTTCACAAATAACTGTTTAACAACTAAATGTCATTAATATGATGATAATTCACCAATTATGGTGTTGACTATAATTTATACTGTATGTTTACGTGCGAAATCTAAGTTGTGGTCAGCTGGTGATGAGAGGTCACAATCACCCTGACTTTCACTTGTCTTTGTAAATGGGTTTATATTCGAAAAGTATAAAGTAGATTTTCTGATGTATCAAAGAAGTGAATAGTAGTTTCCCTGTATCACACAGTAACGTTTCTTCGAAACATTTAATATAGTCACTGAATATCTACTCTTCTTTACATTGAGAAATCAAAATGTTGAAAGATTTTGAGGAAAATTATAGTCACTTGGAACAACCTAGTTATTTTTCAAAGTATCCCAACTTACACGTCTCTGTCATCGATAATATTATTACGGATTGAAATAGTGTGTGATATACAATTAAAGTAGACCATATAAGAAACATTGATACACTCAGTGGAATGAAATTATCTAATATTGCTTTGTTTTGTGTTACAGGGAGATGATAATAAATCGTATCTCATATCTTCCTATTTCAATGGACCAAGAGGTATATTGGATGCACCTCGATCGGATCCGGCAACAGAAGATAGATTTGCAAGCAACTATACCGCAGAATCATTAGTGAGACTCAGTTTTTCTACACACAGTGCTGAGGATGTACCGATTTATGCTAATGGACCTTACAGTGAACTATTTCATTCTTCATTGGATAACACATTTATTGCACATGCAACCATGTACTCGCTTTGTATCGGACCATACACGAATCAGTCACATTGTAACAAAGGAAACAATGGATCTCAACTCAGAGGACTTCATCTGAATAACTTTTATTATTTACTATTTCTCAGTGTTATTTTGTACACTTTCATACATTAGTGCATATTTTGTGGTATTTTGTTCAAATTATTAATTTCATGTGTTTCATGTAAGCATTTTTGTTATTTGTAATATTTATCAGGTTAGATTAGATAAGGATTCATTAGATGATTTATGGATATACAAACATGTATTTTGTGAATGAGTTTGTCATTCGTATGCAGTTCATATTCTGTTTATCTGTTTTTGATATTCATATTTATATAAGAATCTGTCAAAGTGAAAATCGAAATTGTTATCATCACTTAAATTACAGTGTCAGACCTTCAAAATCAATACAGACATTCATTGTAGTATCGTTGATATACTAGAATTTCGACTCCTTCCCACACTTTCTAAAACAGTTCGTCAAACAATCACTAAACACCACTTTCTTGAATTACTTCGGGACTTGGATAACGTCAAAACTACCTGTAGTAATGTATTTGTTAAAGATTATTTTATTAATGGGGTGGTGAATAACATGTTGGCTCATACTGGTTGATAATCGAGAAAAATGCAAAATACTCTATTTTTGGTTGCAAGTATTATGAGTATTGCATTGTATTTCAACTAGACAGCTACCAAGAGGCCTAATTTATGAGCATAATTGTTTCACAGTCATACATATAATAAGAGTGAAGTATGAATTGACTTGAACAACTTTGTAAATTGTCAATAAACTTCAAGGTTTAATCTGACTTGTATAGAAGACACTTATGCACAAATCCAACTCGTACAGATTAAGTGAAATTATACAATAATTTCATTTCTTGGGAAAGTTCATTCGGTGTTGTGATCCTTCAAAAGCTTGGTTCATTGTGATGATTGCTTCAGATGAAAGTAGGTATTTCAGAACTAGTTCACAAAAACAGTATCTACCAATTCGTTATAGTCAGAATGAAAGTGGTTCTTTTCAAATGTTCTGTTTTCTCTATGTGTCCTTGCAATGAATGTTGTACTAGTTCGATCTTTAAACACATGACTGGTTGACTTGGTCCTCATTGGTTGATTGAATAAATCCCTAACGTCCAAAGGACTTTTTAAATCTGAATTTTCGATACTATTCATCTTCATAGATGTCAATGTTCAATGAAGAAAGTTGTTGTATGCAGTATTGTTCAACCGTTACCATATTATGACATCCGTAACTCTTTATGGAAAGTGAAATCTCACTTTAATCGACTTTGTTTACGAACTATTTCGCAGTTAAGTTTTCGGGACTAGAATATTTTCTTCAATCCGTTCATGAAATACTATTACTACCACTGTTTGTACATTACACTGATATTATTTCTTCTCTGACACTAACTTGGAAAGATTTACACCGGTGACTATATAGCAAACGATTAGTAAAATTATGATGCCATTAAATATTTTACTAGTGTTATCACTGAGAATACTCGCAAGAATTCACTTCTCTTTTTTAAATTATGGGTGTTTAATTTGATTAGTTTAAATAAAATGTTTAAAACAATTGGCACATATATGACAACATAACTATTCCCGTAATTTTGCTTTTGTTTCACCGTGCTCTCCATTTTCATTTTCTCTCCAGTTATAGATACTCTGTAAGTACATAAGCAACAATGAGATAAACATTGAGATACATGAGGTTTATTTGAAGGAACTCTTACTATGTTGCACTTGCAATGTACAGTTCACATTCAACGATGTAATCCATAGACAGAAGGATGGTATAGCAATGGGATCCCCACTTGGTCCATTACTGGCAGATTGCTTCATGGCCAGTTTGGAAAACAACCAACTCAAAAGAATTATAGAAAACCTCCACTTGTATAAAAGGTATGTGGATGATATCTTTATCATCTGTGACAACAAATGTAACTTAAGTGAGACATTTAATAATTGTCACCCATCAATAAAATTCACACTTGAAGTTGAAAGCAAACAAAATATTTACTTCTTTGATGTAGATATGACAAGAAAACAAGATGGTACTTTAAAAAGATCTATCTACAGGAAACCCATGTGGAATGGCCGACTATAACATTTCCACAGTTGGGTTCTCATCAGCCAAAAAAGAAACCTAATAATAACTCTCGTCACAAGAATACGAAGAATCTGTAGCCCCGATGTCGTACAGGAAGAATTGAGCTTTTTAAAAGAAATACTTATCAAAAACGGATATCCTTCTATATTTATTGATAAGAACATGAAGCCAAATATGTCAAAACCACAAACAATTACAGTAGAAAAGAAAATTTTATACATGAACATCGATTTCAAAGGTGATAGAGACGCATATATCTTAAAGAGGAGAATTTCGGATTCTTTAAAAAGAACATTCTTCGCAGCAACATTGCGGATATTATTCTCCGGCCGATCACTGTTCACCAATAATCTGGAAGATAAATTATCGCATCTGATCAACTCAGTTTGCATTTACCAATTTACCTGCTCTTGTGAAGCTAGGTATATAGGTCGTTCGATGCATATTTTATCCAAATGAATTCAAGAACATTGTCCGGCGTGGCTAAAAAGAGGAGGCAACGGCTCAATAAGAAGTTCTATAATCGAAAACCTTGTGAACACAGGTCACTCAATCAAGACAGACTCTGCGTTCAAAGTCATCTACAAGGTAAGTAGAAGCCTTCCTAAGACAATTAGACTGCATCTTCTTTGCATTGCCGAGGCAATAGCCATACATTTTGAAAAACCAGAATTGTGTACAAAAGAGACTGGTACAACCTCTTCTTCTATCATGGTCTTAATGTATTAAAAGAAATTTCTCTTTCTTCATACTCTTGTTCTTTTACAGCCACCTGCTTCACCTTCCATCTTCCCTTCAAATCTTCTACCCCCAACGGGTTTGTTTTTATTGCCACGATCATTCCGATCACATTTCATCTCTGTTTCAACATTTTATTTTATCATGCTGAGCCATCATTACCCAATGAATACTTCAGCCATTAACTATCAAACGATTATTAAACTTTCCTTGTTTAAAATTTTTTTGATTGAGATCTTGAACCAATTGATGTTAGACCATCACAATTGAAAACCTGGAAGCACTGGACGGCCGTTTCGTCCTATTGTGGGACTCCTCAGCAGTGCGCATCCACGATCCCGCGAGCGGGATTCGAACCCAGGGCCTTCGGTCTCGCGCGCGAACGCTTAACCAACTGGACCACTGAGCCGGCATCCAATGGTGATAGTTTCTAACATCAACCAATCCACGAAATTGCGCGACCAACTTCCATTGTACCTAAGTAGATAACTGTCTCTACCCGACAAGGATTAGCTCCACTGGTCACGGCTTCTCACTAGAACTCCGAGAATTCCCTCACGAAGCTAGTCACTCGTGAGCACATGTTGATTACTAGTATAGGGGTTGTAGAGATTATTAAGTTTTTGATTGAGATCTTGAACCAATTGATGTTAGACCATCACAATTGAAAACCTGGAAGCACTGGACGGCCGTTTCGTCCTATTGTGGGACTCCTCAGCAGCTAATCCTTGTCGGGTAGAGACAGTTATCTACTTAGGTACAATGGAAGTTGGTCGCGCAATTTCGTGGATTGGTTGATGTTAGAAACTATCACCATTGGATGCCGGCTCAGTGGTCCAGTTGGTTAAGCGTTCGCGCGCGAGACCGAAGGCCCTGGGTTCGAATCCCGCTCGCGGGATCGTGGATGCGCACTGCTGAGGAGTCCCACAATAGGACGAAACGGCCGTCCAGTGCTTCCAGGTTTTCAATTGTGATGGTCTAACATCAATTGGTTCAAGATCTCAATCAAAAACTTAATAATCTCCACAACCCCTATACTAGTAAAATTTTTTTACCTTTGTTTATTTAACCTCACTGTCACCATGTATAACAGAAGTTTATTATCAGTATTATTATCACCCTGTAAAGATAAGTATATATTTGCGATTGTACAGCTTTGAAAATGAATTCGCCGAAAAGAGAACTCTTCGCTGAACTAATCTTTCTTTCTTACTCTGTAAAGTTACTGGTTTAACTCTACGATACACTAAATGTGGTTTCGCGTAAAGTTTAAATTCTCAACCTAAGAATGTATTGCTCTCAAATCTTTTTTACTTCACATTATTATAAACCCTGTGACAAACGCACCCTTGAAACAGTTTATAAATCACATCTCTTTAAATAATTTACACTTATACATGTTACATTCCTTTATGAGTCAATCTGATCATGCCTATAAACCTGCATTGTTTTGGTATTACTGTCGGGATATATTGTATTTGTGTTTTCAATATTTCCTCTTGCACCGTATCAAAAAGAGAATTCATCACTTCAAAGACTGAGAACATAAAAATGTACCCACCAATTAGCCAACAAACGTGTCATATGATGGCTTTTGTAGTGGAAGTACACAATTCAGATTTCCTTCACGCTGTTTCTAGTATGACCAAAACCAATCGTCAATGCAAGAGGTTGTAGTGACTTGCTTTTATCACGAGAACACGATTGGTTTAATGAAAACAATTATTATTATAACCAATTGTACCAGTGACTGTTTTACTGTGCTCGTTTGTTTAACTGTGCTAATGACAGATATATTTTGCTTCCATTACTCTTCATTACTTTTTTCGCGGATTGTGACCTCGTACGTTCGTACTCTTGCTCGCTGATTCCCCCTGTACTTCTTTTGGCACGATCTTGGTATTCGTTCGATATCACGAGATCGCCAACGAAATAAATCTGGTTACGTTCAGTCTTTGCCTTCTGATTTGTCTGGCACGCGTTTCCTTGTAGTGGTGTTTGTAAGATCCATTTTGAATGCCTTGTGTGTTTGTGAAAATCCCTCCATGTATATACTTGCGCTTTGTTCCTAGTGATCTTCTTCGTTGTACATCGTTAACTTTTGGACTACATTTGAATTGTTAATATTTGTATTTTATTATAGTTTTCGTTTTTACCACACCTTCACTAATTCCCCATGTTTCTTCCCGAACTGCACTTATGTTGTTTTACTTTATACTAAGTCTGAGCGGCAGCCATTTCGGTTGGTTCCTGCTTTTGATTGCTTGACCTGTGTTGACTGGAATTGTGCATTTTGGTTGTGAATTGAAGCACTCTTCCAGAATTGAAAACACTCTGTGTTATAGAGCGACCAATTATTACCTTTTGAACGAATCTGTATGTGATCTATCCAGACAGGATAGAATAACATTTATTTGTGGTGATTGGTAATTTTCTTGCATTCTTTATCAACTTTCTTATTTATTGTAGTTTAGATTTGATCAATTAAACAATTATTGGTTGGATAGCTGTGTGGTTATATTTGTTTAGGTAATAATGTATACTTAAATTTATGATAAATTATAGAACCTCTATCTTACCCAATCACCTTGTTTTGGTTTCAAACTGGCGAGGGCGCGTATCCAACT